AGGTAGGTAACTCTTTACCAATTACATCTAATGTAATTTCTAATTTCATTGGTATGATAACTCCTTGTCTTATCACATCTTATGTGAATACCAATCCTTGCTTATAAGTTTATTGGATCTTGAGCTATCTCAACAAATTCAATAACTCATAGACTCAACATTCGAGGACATTACATGGCTCGTGATTTGTTTCCCTCAAGAAAGAAGTGACCTTGAGTTATCTCGGTAAGCCAACAATTACCAAGAGAGTTCCTACCTCATAAAATTGGAAAGTAATTAATTTAATAACTAATTTGAAGTTTAATATGGTTGGTCCCATCCTAGCATGCATACTATACAATAATCATAGTATTCCTAACATGCGTACTAATATTTTATCTCATAAATAACATACATCTCATGGATGACTCAAAGACTCGATGAATGGTAATGGATCTCTAATACTAGACCCCTCGAGCCACATAGAGACTAGTGGGTCAATTCCTAGGAAAAAATTATTACAAATTCTTCATAAATTTCTTCATTCCTTGGTGTCTTCTCCTTGTATCTATATTAATTCATATCTTCTACTTTTACATTTATTTGAAATAAGAAAACTTGAGTTACATATAAGGAATGACCTATCCTATCCTAGCCATACACCTACCTCTATTAGATTCCTAGTGCACCTAACAAATTATCCACGTGTAACCCTTTAATAGGTCCATTGAAACAAGTGTCAAAGTGTATAATTCCTCTAATGAGAAAATCGTGATGAATTCAAGTCTAAGGACCATTTATACTCATCTTGTATGAGATTCCTATAGACTAAAAGCAAATGGGTTCTCATGATAAATCAAATCCAATGACATATTCTCTAGCATAAATCACCTAAGTGCTTGCTTTAGCATCACCATGCCAATAGATGTGAGATCTCCTACTATTATCATATAGCATGACCATAGCACCCACAAGTCTATCCGTATATAGACAGTGTCCATTCCGGATACTCGCTACGACTTGAGATGTTTAATGATATCATTTATATGCATTAGTATTTATCTCATATCTTTTGATCAATCACAATTATAAATGCATGTCATAAGAACTTTTATCTAATTCTACCGAATTTACAAACATAAAATACAAGAATTAATAAAATGGCTTTTTTATTATTATTAGAATAAATAATGAAATAATAAATTAACTCAAGCCTATCTAAACATGATTGGATCTTAGGCACCTATACTAACAACCTCTTTTTCCCTCTCCTTTTCTCTCCCTATCTCCCTCTTTCTCGCTCTCTATTTCCCTCCATCCCTTTTTAACTCCCCCTCTCTCCTAGTCTCTCTCTTTTCTCTCCCCCTCTCTCCATCCCCCTCTCCTCGTCTCTCTCTTTCTCTCTCCCCCTCTCTCTCCCCCTCTCGCTTGTCTCTCTCTCTTTGCCTCTCCCCCTCTCTCTCCCTTTCTATCCCTCTCTCCCTCTCAATCTCCTACTCTCTTTCTCTCTCTCTTTTTATTCCACTATCCCTCTCTTCCTCTCTCACTCTTTCTTCTTCTCCTTCTCTCCATCTTTCTCTCCTTATTGCCCTCCCTCTCTCTCCCTTTTTTCTCTTTGTCTCCCCCTTCTCTCTCCCTTTCCCTCTCCCTCTCCATCTCTCTCTCTCTCTCATTCCCTCTATCCCATTCTCTCCCTTATCATCCCTCTCTCTTTCTCTCATATTCTCTCTCTCACTCTCTCTTTCCATCTCTTTCTCTCCCTCTTTCTCTTTCTCTTTCCCCTCTCCTTCTCCCTCTCTCTCCCCTCCCTCTCTTCCCCTATCTTTCTCCCATTCTCCCTCCCTCCCTCTCCTTCTTCCTCTTCCTCTCTCACTTCCCCCTCTCTTTCTCATTCTCTCCCTCCTTTCTTTCCATCCCTTTCCCTCTCTATCTCCCTCTCTCCCTCACTCTCTTTCTTTCTTCGTCTCATACAAACATTCCCTCTCTCTCCCTCTTTCTCCATCTCTCCCTTTTTCTTTTTTATCCCTCACTCTCTCCATCTCTCTCTCTCCTCTTCTCTCTCCTACTCTCTCCCTTTCTCTCCTAATATTACTCTCTCCCACTCTCCTCCCTCTATCTCTCTTCTAATTTCCCTTTTCTTTCTCCCTAACTCTCTCTCTCCCTCTCACTCTCTCTCTTCCTATCTCACTCTCCCTCTCTCCTCCTCCCTTTATCCCCCTCTCTCCCTCTCTCTCCCACTTCATCCCTCACTCCCTCTTTCTCTCCTCCTCTCTCCTTTCATTACTCCATCTCTCCCTCTCTCCCTCCCTCTCTTCCTCTCTCTCTCTCTACCCTACTCTCTCACGTTTCCTTTCTCTCCCCTCACTCTCTTCTTCTCTTCCTCTTTCTCCTTTTTTCTCTCCTTCTCTCCCTTTCTGTCTCCTTTTTCTTTCACTCCCCCTCTCTCACTTTCCTCTCTTACTCTCCCTCTATCTCCCTTGTACTTCCTCTCTCGCCCTTTCTCTCCCCTTTATTTTCTCCCTCCCTTTCTATCTCTCTCTCTCTCCCTCTTCTCCTTTTCTCCCTCCCTTTCTATCTCTCTCTCTCTCTCTCCCTCTTCTCCTTTTCTCCCTCCCTTTCTATCTCTCTCTCTCTCTCTCCCTCTTCTCCTTTTCTCCCTCCCTTTTTTCTTTCTCTCTCTCCTTCTCTTCCTCTCTCTCACCCACTCCCTTTCTCTCTTTCTTTCCCTCTTTATCTATCTATATCTCTTTCTCCCTCCTTCTCTCCCTCTCTCCCTCTCCCTCTCTCTCACTCTCTCCCTCTCTTTTCCCTCTCTCCCTCTTTCCTTTCCCCTCTTTTTCTCCCTCTCTTCCTCTCTCTCTCACCCTCTCTCCTTTTGTCTCCCTCTCTCTCCCTCTCCCTCCCTCTCTCTCATTCCCTCTCCCTCTCCATCTCTTACCTTTTCTCCATTTGTCTCCTTCTTTCTCTCTCCCTTATCTCTCTCTCGTCCCTCCCCTCTCCTAATCTCTCCTTCTCCTTCTCGCTCCTTCTACCTTTCCCTTTATCCCTCCCACTTGCTCTCTTTCTTCCTCTCTACCCTTTCTCTCTCTCCCTCTCTCCTACCCAATCTCCCTCTCTCCCTCCCTCTCTCTCCCTCTCACTCCCCTCCCCCTCCCTTTATCTAGCCATCTTCTCTTTTTCTCCTTCTCTCCCCTCTCTCGTCTCTCTCTCCCTCTCACTCTTACTCTCCTTTTTAATATCCCTCTCTCCCTCCCTCTCTTCCTAATCTCTTTCTTTCCCTTTCCCCTTCTCTGAATCTCTCCCTCTCTCTCTTTTTCTCTCTCCTTCTACCTTTCCCTCTATCCCTCCCACTCGCTCTCTTTCTTCCACTCTCCATCTCTCTCTCACCCTTTCTCCTTCCTAATCTCTCACTCTCCCTCCCTCTCTCTCTCCCTCTCACTCCCCTCTTCCTCCCTTTATCTAGGCCTATCTCTCTCTTTCTCTTTCTCCTTTCCCCTCTCTTTCTCCCTTTCTCTTCCTATCTCCCTCTCTCTCCCCTCTCTCACTCCCCATCTTACACACACTCTCTCTCTCTCCCTCTTTCCCTCTCCCACTCTCTCTATCTCTCCCTCTCCCTCTCTCCCTCTTCATCTCTCTCACTCCCTCTCTCACTCTCTCTTCCCATGTCTCTCCTTCTCTCCCTTCTAATCTCCATCTATCCCTCTTTTCCTTCTCTTTCTTTATCCCTTTTTCCCTCCCTCTTTCTCTCTCTACCTCTCACATTCTCTCTTCTTTTCTCTTTCTCCCCCTCTCTCTCTCCCCTTCTATCTCTCTCCCTCTCCCTCTCCCTCTCCCTCCCTTTATTACCCTCTCTCCTCTCTCTCTCCTTTTCTCTCCCCCTCTCTCCCTCTTCCTCTCCCTTTGTCCTTCTCTCGCCTCTTTGTCCCTCTCTCCATCCCTCTCTCTCCCTTTCATCTTTTTCTCCCTCTTTCCTCTCCCCCTTTCTCCATCCCTTTCTCTCTTCTTCTCTATCCAACTAGCTCCCTCCCTCTCCCTTTCTCCCACTCCTTCGCTATCTCTCTCCTCCTCTATCCCTCTCCCTCTCTTTCTCCTTCTCTCTCGTTCTCTCTATCATAGTTTTAAATAGTGGTCGCGGTTGAAAAAAATGATCACGATAGCGATTGCGGATCATAACTTATTACGATAGTAAAATAACGGTCATAACAACCAATGTCGTGAATACTTTAGCAACTATTAATAAGTTTATTCTAATTCATATATTTTTAATAATTTTATAAATTAAGCATACTAATAAGTAATAATATTTCTAGTAGTCTAATATGATATAACAATAGTTGAATTTATTATAAAAAATAGTTAATAACACTTCTAATTGATAAATATAACAAAAATAATAAAATACATTATATTTTGGGTAAACACATTATGAAATATTTATTTTTAAAATAATCATCATAGTGAATCATAATAATGGTTATCATTTTGTCGTTAATGTTGTAATTTTTGTCCATTAAAATTACAACTCTAACTAGTTTAGAAAAACAAATTAGAAAATAACATAAAATTAAAAAATAATAAAGACCATCTAATTTATTTTTTCAACCTAAAAGGACTAATTTATAATTTATTTAATTAAAACAACATTTACTTTGTAGCCTATGAATTTGTGCATGCATGACAAACAAAGTAGAATAATAAAAGATTAAATCATACATTAATCCTTCTAGTTTTAATAAATGAATTAATTAGCTTTTAATATTTTAAAAACTAATTATTTAATTTTTAATCAGTATTTATCATGTTTAATATAGTATATTTTATTCAATAATTTTTTTTATCCTTTTCATAGTATAAATTTATTGTTTTCTTTTTCTATTTTTTAAAATAAAGAGAAAATTAAATTAAAAAAAATATAAAACAAACAAAATACATAAGTTGTTGGTTTTTGAAATCGAATGACTAACTAAATTATTGTTTCAAAATAAGAGGACTAATTTATAATTTATTCAATCAAAAACTACAAATGTCTCTTGCTTTTCAAAATAAAAGTCTCCTCTTATATGATATTCTCTCCCTCTCTCGCCTCTACCCTCTCGTCTCCCTCGCCGCCTTGTAGCCCCTCTCGTCTCTCGCCTCTCTTCTCTACATGCCTCCCATCTTTGCCTCTCATCCTCTCTACCTTTCATGTCTACGTCTCTACGTCTCTTCCTCTCTTCCTCTACCACTTATCACCGCCCGAATTTCAATAGTTGAAATTTTGGATTTTTCTTTTTGTAATGTCGTTATATAATGAAAAAAATGGTGTTACATAACAAGTAATGTCAATATCTATCATTATTCATGTGAAACGTGTGAGGGCACTATAACACTCGAATAACGATAATGGGGTGCCCTATTACCTTTATATACATAACAGTCATTTTTTAAAACCATGCTTTCTATCTATTTCCCTTCCTCTCTTTCCTTCTCTATATCTCTCCCTCTTACCCTTTCCCTCCTTCTCTCTCTCCCTCCCTCCCTTTCTTTCTCCCTCCTTCTCTCTCCATCTCTAGCCCATTCTCCCTCTCCCTACCTCCTTTTGTCTCTCCTTCTCTCCCTCCCTTTCCCTCTCCCTCACTCTCCCTCTCCCTCCCTTTCCCTCCCTCTCCCTCTCTTTCTCTCTTTTTCTCTCTCCCTCTCTCTATTGCTCCCTCTCCCTTCCTCTCCCTCTCTCTCTCCTCTTTTCCCCCTCTCTCCCTCTCTTTCCTCCTCTCTTCCCTTTCTCTCCCCCTCTCCCATTGACTTTCCCTCTCTTACTTTCTCCCTCTTTCTCTCCCTCTCCCTTTTACCCTTCTCTCTCCCTCTCTCTCCTTATTCCTCCTTCTCCCACTCTCTCCCTCTCCCTTTCTCTCTATCACTCTCTCTCTCATTTTCTACCTCTCTACTTTTCTCTCTATCAATATTTCTTTCTCCATCTTTCTCCCTATCTCTCTCTCACTCTCCCTCTCCTTCCTTTGTTCGCTTTCTCCCTCCCTCTCCCCTTTTTCTCCCTCTCTCTCTATTTCTCTCCCTCAAACTCGCCTCCCTTTCTCCCACTTTCTCCCAACCTATCCCTCTCTCTCTCCCTCTTTCCCTCTTTCTCTCGCTATCCCCCCTTAACCTCCATTCCCTTTCCCAATCTCCCTCCTCCCGCCTTCTATATCGCTTTCTCTCATTCTCTCCCTTTTTCTCTCTCTCTCTTTCTATCTATCCTTCCTTTCTTTTTCTCTCTCTCACTATCTCTCTTTACCTCTCTCTCCCTCTCTCTATTTCTCTTCTTCCTTCTCCCTCTCTCCATACCTCTCTCCTAATCTCCCCCGGTCTCCCTCCCTCCCTCTCTCTCCACCTCTCTCCTAATCTCCCCTCGGTCTCCCTTCCTCTTTCCCTACCCCTCTCTCCTTTCCGTCTCCCTCTCTCTCCTCTTTCTCCCTCTCTCTCCATCCTTCCTCTCCTTTTGTGGCACCCCCTCTCCAGCCCACTTGCTAACTACCTAAAAAGGAGTGGCTAGGTGAGGAGCGCGCCACGATGACACATCTAATCCAACTTAAACCCTACTACGTACATGCCAATACCGTAACAACATATTATATATTGAAATATATACAATACGAAGAAATGACAATTTATTTACAATGCCGTTTAAATATCTACATACGCCCCAACATCGAATTACAATCAAATAACATCCTTTTAGGTTTGCATCACATATGAGCCCTTTTAGAGGATTCGATAGTGTCCTTATTAGTACTCGCAATCATCTGCTACTCGTTATAATATGCAAATAACAATGAGGTGAGCCGAAGCTCGTAAGTGGGGTGATGCACATGATATGCAATGCTTTTTTGACTTCCCACCATACTCATCAATTTTAATTCGGGTACCATAGGTATTAGCAAGTCTACTATATTTTTAATACAAATGATTACCGAAGAACCTTCTATTAACAATGAAATTATCTCTTATTGTAGCCACTCGTTAGCGAGAGTCCATCATCTAATAGTGCGAGCACATAGCTTAAAGTACCCACACAAACTGGACTGCTAATATCCATTTATTCCTATTAGGTTACCGGACCTATTAACAAAACTCACTTTTCAACCAATTAATTCTTCCTCAGCCCTTCCCGACACATATACTCGTGCACGTGATGCTATGATTATTGTATTATAGATACTCGGGGTACCAAACCCTACACCATTATTCCATCCTCGATATCTAACCCACACAGGGTCATACGTTCACTTCATTACAACGTTCACCTAATTAAGTTTAAATGTCATCGGTTGATATTTGCCGAGCCGTGAATTTAATTCACATGAAGATATTTTTCTTTCGCCTAATTTGTTACGCTTTTAATATTAATTCATTCTACATTCGAGGTATGCGGTTTTTGACATTATGAATTATTTAAAACATGTTACGGTGTGACTTACCCTTTTCTCTCGAATTTAACACTTTTTGGCCGAGTTAGGCTCCTAAGAATGTTAAGTCAAATTTTTAGTTTCTCTTCACGATCTTACCTTTCTAATTTTATTTTTATCCTTATTTAGGGCCTAATTGAATTTGTAATTACCCAATTGATTTAGTGAAACCCAAAACCTCCATTTTTTCAAGGTTGGATTCGGTCCCTAAATTGGCAAGGAATTTGTCTTTGTTTTTCTATGATTTTTCTTTTCCTTTCTTTTTGAAAAACTAGCTAAACCTAATTGGTTTACCATTAAGGTCAAAAGTATTAAGTACTAAAGGAAGTCCATTTTCACCATTCTTGGCCGAATATGACTCTAAGAAAACCCTAAAATTTCATTTTTCTTTCCTTCCTACTCCATTTTATTCAAGTCCATACAAATCCCAATTTCACCCACCAAGTTTCGATCAACCAAGTTCCATTAGCCACACCCATCCATACATGGATCTTTCTACATACAAAACTTCTAAAACTTCAACAAAGAACCATCACAATCAAACCATAGTAATTACCAATCATGGAACAACCTAACCAACACAATCAAGCCAACAAAACACATTATCACATAAACACAAGCTTAATCAATTACAATAACATTAATTGAATGGCATAAGGAACTAAACAAATCCACTTACTTAGATAGATTTGATTAGGATTTTTCCCTAGCTTTTCCCCTTTTTCCTTCCTTTCTTTCATTTCTTTTCTTTTTCTCTCTTTCCTTGTCGTGACTTTCTCTCCCTTTTTCTTTCAATTGGTTTTTCTCTCTTTCTTTTGATGGCTATGGGTTTTGCCTAAAATTTTCAGCCATCTTCCCATTTTACTAACATATATACTTGCTTTTTCTTTCCCATAAATGAAGGTTACAAGTTTCTCAAACCAATTTAACAAAGTGTAAAGCAATTGGGTGAGTCATAGGGCAAGTGGTGGGTTTGATTGGCTTTAGGGGTGAGTTGGCTTCCAAGCATTTAATTAAGGTGCTTAGGTGTCTAATGGTCAAGCAACTAGATAATTAGGCTAACTAAGTCTTCAAAATAATTTTTTTCTAATGAAAAAGTCGCTTAAGCTAGCTTAGTTCCAGATCATACACATACACCTCAAATCTATTTGTAGATCATGCATTACGAGGCAACCTCTTATCAAGAAGCAATGTCCCACTTCTAGACAAAATTAAATCCTATAATTTTTATATTAAAAAATAGATATATTAATTTAAAAAATATCCAAAAAATAGGCTAAAATACCAAACACATAAGTAATAAAATAATTTTGAATTGTTTGACTCAATATGTCCAAGCAGTAGTTAATCCGAACGAGTATGTCCTAAAATGGACATAAAGTTTTGTATATAAACCTAATAAAAAAATATTTTATAGAGGGGTATTTGAAACATATATCAATAACATTTATTCTTTAAGCTTCACCTAAAAATCAACCTAAGGTCCTTGAACAGAGCCACACAAAATTTGGATCGAATCTAATTCTCAAGAACATTGATTTTGCATGCTTGATTCCTCTAATAATTAAACCATCAATCTCAAGTAAAATTACTTTAATTTAACACAAATCATGCATTTCAAGAATTAATTTCTCATGGTGGAATTGTCTAAAATGCCATTCCATAAATTCTCACCTAAACACCTAGCATGTTGTCATCCCAAAATACTCAAATGGCATAAATACACAATCACACCATCACTTATTTGAATATTTCGGCTTATATGTATATATATATATATAATTAAGGATTTTCATAGGGGTTACATTTCTCTCCCCTTAAAAGAAATTTCATCCATGAAATTGGCTTATTCGAATAGTTTTGGGTATTTATCTCCATTTCTTCCTCTCGCTCCCACGTGACTTCCTCTAAATTGTGATTCACCCACAAGACTTTAGCTAAAGAAATCTCCTTATTCCTTAGTTGTCTAACTCCGTCTATCTAGAATCTGGATTGATCTTTCTTTATATGTTAAATCCGAAGTGAGATCTAGTGGGTCTATCTCCGGAATTTGACTTGGCTCTCCTACACACTTCCTTAGCATGGACACATGGAATACATTATGTACTCTTGCTAATGATGGCGGCAAAAACAGGTGCTAGGCCTTATCCCTTACTCGATCCAAGTATTTCAAATGGTCCAATATATCATAGACTTAACTTCCTCTTTTTCCGGATCGTAGTACGCCCTTCATCTAGTGAAACTTTTAAGAATACATAGTCACCGACTATAAACTCTAGATCTTTCCTCCTCTTATCGATGTAGCGTTTCTATCTACTCCGAGTTATTTTCATCCATTGGTGGATCTTTTCCACCATTTCAACCATTTGATATACCAGCTCCGGTCGGACCAACTTCCTCTCCTCTATCTCATCCTAATGCATGGGAGATCTACATCACCACCCATACAAAGCTTTATAGGGAGCCATCTCAATCGAAGCTTGATAGCTATTGTTATACGTAAATTTAGCTAAGCGTATGTATCTCTCCCATTTTTTTGACCAATCCATAATGTATGCTCATAGTATATCTTTTAGAATCCGGATCAATCACTCAAATTATCCATCGGTTTGTAGATGATAAGTCATGCTCGAAGTTTAGCTTCGTACCCATGGCCTTGTGCGTACTCTTTCAAAATGTAAAGGTGAATCGGGATCTCGATTTCACATAATTGAGATCGAAATCCCATGTAATCTTATAATTTCATCAAGGTACAATCGGGCATACCGGTTCGGATTGT